TTTACAGGTATGGTGATGAAGTAGTAGCTGAGCACTTACATCTGATCCACAAGAATGAGGCAGAAAGAGAGAGAGAGGAAGGGGAAGAGAGAGAAAGAGAGAGGGGGGAAGAGGGAGGGAGAGAGAGGGAGGTAGACAGAGACACAGAGAAAGACACAGAGAGACACACAGAGAGAATCTGAGACAGAGAACTGAGAATGGAATGGCTTGGGCTTTTGGAACCTCAAATCCCACCCACTGTGACATATCACCTCCAATGAAGCCACACCTCCTAATCCTTTGCTAATAGTTCCACCAACTGAGGACCAAGCATTTAAATATATAAGCCTATGAGAGGTAGTCTCATTTGAACCACTATGCTATCATTGCAATTTCATGCCCTCTGCCTCTTTGTGTGTGCGTGTGTGTGTGTGTGTGTGTGTGTGTGTGTGTGTGTGTGTGTGTGTTTTCTGTGTTGGCCTATTGAATCTATTTTATGTTGTCAACTACTCCTCGAGGTGTGGCTTACCTTGGAGTGTGGTCAATACATCAGGTGTCAAACCACTAAAAAACTGACTTCCATTCTCCCAGCATGAATAAAATGCCAATACCTCCTCTGCTAGGGATGGAATTTCTGCACACTCCCCCTCCTTTACGCCCCATATACAACTTTAATTGTGGCCAGTATTCCCAAATATTATTTTGTAAAGAAATGCTAAAGAAAGCTACACTTGTTTGGGGGAACTCAACTCAGGGGAATCTTTCCTTTGGTAGGCCCGTATAAGCATTTTTCATTACTATGACAAAACACCAGCTGAAAACAATTTCCAGTAGAAAGGGTTAACACTGGCTAACAGTTTGAAGATACAGTCCATCATCATGTTGAAGGCACTGTAGCAGAATCAGTTGCGGCGCCAGAAATCAGAGGTCGCTGGTCACATTGTATGCACAGTCAGGAAGCAAAGCTAGATGAACACTGGTGCTGAACTAACTTGGCCTCCTTATATTCAGTCTGGGATTCTAGCTCAGAGATGATGCCACACACATCCAGGATACACTTTTCCCTCCTCAATTAAAACTCCTTGGAAAAACCACCATAGGCAAGTTTGTTGATTAATATCCTAGATGACTGTAGTATCCAGTCAAATGGATAATTAATGTTAACTACCAAAATTCTACCACTTTTATACTTGCCTCATGAGCATATCAATTTTTTTTTGTGAACCATTAGTTTTATTTGGGTTCCTTACAGGGTTTTATCTCAATATATGTTTTTATTTAAATTAGAAACATGCATGCTTCACATGTCCATCCCAGCTCCCTCTCCCACCCCTCCTCCCTTGTCCCTCCACCAACCTCCTTTCAGCCCCTCACCCAATCTCCACATCATTCCCCAGGGTGGGTGAGGCCTTCCATGAGGAGATCTCCAGAGTCTGTCATTTCATCCAGGGCAGAACCTAGGCCCTTGCCCATGTGTCCAGGCTGAGAGAGAGCATCCCCCCATGTGGAATGGGCTCCCAGAGTTCATTCGTATGCCATGGTAAACACTGATCTACTATTCAAGGCCCCAGAGATTTCTCAGGCCTCCTCACTGACACTACATTCATGGTGTCTGGATCAGTCCCCTGCTGGTCTCTCAGCCATCAGTCTGGGGTTCATGAGCTCCCCCTCTCCGGTCAGCTGTCATTGTGGGTTTCACCAGCATGGTCTTGACCCCTTTGCTCATCATTCCTTCATCTCTGTCACTGGGTTCCAGGAGTTCACTTCTGTGTTTAGCTGTGGAAGCAGAGAGAGATAAGCATATCACGTTAAACCATACAGTTTATAGACTCATGGCCATCTTGTAAAATGTATCCAGTAATTTTCTGAAGTCCCCACAATCTTAACAGTTTCAAAATTGTTCAGATTTCTAGTGTCCAACTTTTCCTCTGTGATTCAGTAAAATGACTTAACTGTGAGTCCCCACATAACAATAAAATGTGTAAGTTACATCCTTTCAATATATGCACAGAATAATCTCATTCCTAAGGTGGGGAATGGGGGTGCATGATAGAAAGATCTGGAAAAAGAAGTACTAAATGTTTACAGAGCAAGCAAAAAATTCTGAAGTTTCATGTACAGTACATCGAGTTCATTACGTAATCATCTGGGTTCAGTGCATTGTGTAGTCTCTTTTTTCAGTTCTGCTATCTACAGAATAAGCATCCTCTAGGAGCTCCAATTCACATTTATCACTGCCCTAGGCAGTCATAGGCTCCATCTTCACAGTTTCACATAGTAGCCTGCTGGGGTCTCAGTATAAGGAATCTTATCCTGCCACACATTGCCTAGAGTCAGGGACTTTCTGCAACGTTAGTGCAAACCTCATGCTATGTATCATCTTTCCATCAGAATACCTTTCCTAGTTAGAAGTACTCAGTTGATTGTTGTTTGTTTGTTGTTTTGTGTGTGTATGTGAGTTTGTGTGTGTGTCTAGGGCAAGCATTTGAGTGTGGATTGGCACAAGCATATGCACACCTTCAGAGTTCAGAGCAGAAATTCAGGTGTGCTCCTGTCAAATCATATTACTATCCTGAAACAGAGTCACTCATCGAAACAGAAACTTTCCATTCTTTGAGGATGGCTATCCAGCAAGCTCTCAGTATCTGTTGCTATTGGTACCCAATATTGGGGTTACAACCACTCACAGCAAAAGCCACAGTTTTAACCATGTTTTGGAGATTTGAGGTCAGTCTTTCATACTTACAAAGCAAGTTCTTTGATACCACTGCCCGAGGCCCAAGGTTGACCAGGTGATAATTTCCTTTTTTTTGTTTTGTTTTGTTTTTCAAGATAGGGTTTCTCTCTGTAGCCCTGGCTGTCTCGGAACTCTCTCTGAAGACCACACTGGTCTTATGATCAGAGATGTGCTTGCTTATGCCTCCTGAGAGCTGGGATTAAATTGTGTACCGCTACCATCCAGACATATCTTTAACATTTACAGATGCTTTGTCTTCCTCTCTACCCCTATTTGCAACTCTAGTTATCAAAGTTTAATTTTTACAACTGCCTCCTCTCTCAGTAGACCTTCCTGAGCACAGTGGATTTCATAGATAGGTTTGCTGTCCTAAAATTGCCTCCATTAGATGAATTTGTCCATTGCTTTTGAATTTGGCCTCACTCAATTTCTCAAAAGATGGGGAGAATATAGCCAGATTCTTTTCCAAATGAAATACAAATGACCTGTATCCTAGTTACCAGTAGAGCCCTTGCTTAGTTAGTCCTTGGAACATTATAAGTCATAACTCCATTCGGAATTTCTCTTGGAATTTTGGTCTTCTAAAATTCCATTAAAATGCCCTATTATGCTCTGTCTATGGCACCCCAAGGCTTCACTGGTGCATAGCTACAAACTCTCCCTTATTCCTTCCAAAAGCCTAAGAACCACATGACCAAGTACCACATCAGTAATCCTACTCTTGGTAGACAATTTCTGTATTAGTGATGTATCTCATTGTCATACCCCCGAAATGATTCTAAAATTAGTCACTTTAAAAGTGACAATTGTCCAAAACAAGGTCTCTTTATGTATTATACCTTGTTAGTCAGGTACCCATTCCTGATATGTGTGATTCTTCCAATTCTCCAAAGCAGCTTCATCTCAGCAATTCCTTCCACTGAATGCTTGGTAACAAGTATTTAGGTACCATCCAATCATTTGGTCAAGTCCCATTTATATTAGCTTTCATATATACAAATATGTAATCATTAATTGTCATAAAAGGAAAATTGACCCACAATTAAACTCTCCTGTGATTTGAAGACAAAGGAAAGACCATAAACCAGTTACTCATCTCACTCAACTTTTAGTAATTCTGTAATTTGTGGAAAACATTTGCATATTACCAAGTATGATTAATTAGCTAATATTATTTAAGAAAACATTTGTTTATTGCTTTCAATAATTTGGCTTTATTTAAACAGCCAATTCAAGAATTTTCTTTCCCTAGATCAATAACTTAAGTTCATACTATCTACATATTATTTATGTATATCTATATTATATTCACATGTATCTATATTTAGTATGTATATTTGTACATAATTTACATATGCATAAGCTTTGTATATACATATTATTTTTGTACATGTATATGATTACCTACATATATAATTTTGAAACTGTTCTTAATAAAAATCATGGCAATCATTTACATTGGAATTACATTTTAGCTAATACTAGCATAGGAAACCTAGCATATAAGCTGATGCATATTGTTATGGATATTTGTATTCTAATGATTAATATTTTTGCCAAATAACATCATTAGTAGGAAAATAATCTTTTCTGTTTCAATTATTAAATACTAAGCAATTATATAAAACTTATAGCAAAATTATGAACTTCACTTTTTTAGAATAGCAATGTTACTTGCCAAAGGCATTATTAAAATCTTTCAATATTAAAAACACTTTTTATATGTTTGAATAAGTTATCCATTAATTTTATAAGTAAAATATTGAAAAACTTAAAAAAATAGAATTCAATACCCAATAAAATATTCATGATTTGCTATAAAAATTGTGTGTATATTCACTATTTTTACATAACTATTTTCTTTTATTGTTTTTCAGATTATAGTTACAACAACTCCCTTCCCTTTTCTCCTCCAAACCCACTCATAATGATGAATTTTACTTTTAATTTTTTCTTCTATTGAAATTAGATTTTTTTTTCATACAGCATATCCTGATTACGGTTCCGTTCCCTCCCCTCTATACCTCCCAGTTCCTCCCGATATCCCCCCCCATATGGATCACCCATTTGCTGTCTCTCAATAAAACAAATAAACTTTCAAGGGAGAGTAATTAATTTAACATATAATAAGATAAAACAAAAGAAACACAATGTAATATGACAACACAACCAGACAGAAGGGGTAGAACACAAGAAAAAGCACAAGAAACAGATATAAACACGGAGACCCTTTTGTTCACACACTCAGGAATCCCATGAAAAAAGAGTTAAAAAAGAGATAGAGAGAAAAAAGGAACACCTCATGAATTTAGGTGTGATCCTTGCTCAGGGGGCATGTTTGTCTCTGTATCATCTCAATTTTAGTAGATGTACTGGCAAAGCGATCACTTCACTGCCTAATTCGAACCTCCAGGAAAGTGTCTCTGTAGTTAGAGCTTAAATCATTATAGGCCTTTGAATATTCTGTTTATTTAAAGAAATCCTTCTTTCAGTTTTCCTAGTATGGGGTTGACACTGTTCTACTAAAAGGATCTACAGAAAATTATATTGCCATCTTAAGGGAGTCCCGTGGCTACTTTGATTTTTACAAATTTCACTAGCTAATAATTTCCCCCCCATCAGCGTTAATGAAAACTCAGGAAATGTCAGACTTCAGAGAATCTCACAGAAGAACATTTTATAAAAGTCCAGGAAACATCCCAAGTGACAAATCAGCCTTTCTTTATACACATGGCAGGAGTGCCGGAAAGCAAAGAATGAGGGAAAAACTGGATTTGAATTTTTTTTCTAGAGGTGTATTTTGATCCTCCAATGTTCCTGGACATGAGCCAATCCAATTAGTTAACTAATCCTTCTCACATGTTGTGTAAGAATGCCATTCATGCTGGACCTCTTACATGAATCTGTAATGTGGACAGAGGATGGCAAGTACAGGAAACAAGGGGGAAACCTGCCAAATTCTCCATCCACAGTGCTGTGGGTGTCCATCCATGGGCTTGCATCGGTCCCCTTCCAGAGGGTGTTGACCACTCTTTAGGGAACTGAAGTCTCAGTGTGTTATTCATTAAGACCAATATCTGTAAAGGTGGCTGGAATGGTAAGTTAAAATGTTATCTATGGAGTTGAGAAAGGAAATACCTGGACTATATAGATTTAAAGCCCATCTTTGGGAAATGCAAGTCTCTCTTAGCTACTAAGAGGATTATTCTTTTCTCTGCTCAACAGCTTCGATGATAATTTGTATTATATTGTGGAAAACATATTTTTAATACCTCTGTGTCATTGGAACTATAGTGTGCCTTCCAACAGACAAAGCAAATTCTTGATAGCACATTGGCTGAAGGAGTTAAAAGGAAGAGGTCTTTGCACTAGGAGTCTGGACAATCCTTCCTGTCATTGCTAGATCCCATAACAAGGCAAGACATTTCTATTCCATGACCTGGGGCTCTAAACAATGAACTGGGTGGATATCACTTTCTCTTCCAGTTTTCAAATTGTCTTCAGAAATCCAGGCCCCAAATAAATAGACTGTGAATCACGACCATGGAAGGCTCCTCTCTGGGGGCACCCTGCCTTTCTTCACTAAGAAGTCATGGCTATGTCAACTTAATATAAAAATAGATCTTTTTAAAGTTCATTTCCTGCATATTTTTGTGATCCAAACTAGTTTTTGCTGCCTTTTGTGTCATCATTGCTCCCTAGTATATACACTAAAATATAAAGGATAGTCAAATTAAATATGTAAATAAACAGTCAACAAGTAAGTAAGGAATGCAATACCCCAAAAATGGGTTTTAAAAGTTGTTTTGCAATGTAGATTTCTGGAATAAGCTTAAATGTAGAGAGCTCCGTGTCTGTGGGTTCCAATAGGAAAAGTTAGAAGGACTGGATAAAATATATTAAGGCAAATGATTTGAAAGCAACTCAAGCCCAACTAAAAAGCATCCAAGGAAGGCAGTTCTTGAATGTCTACCCTCAAGTCCAAGAGAAGAGATCTCTGGGGGTTTTCTGGAGAGGAGAAATGTGATTACAGCATTTTCCTGGCCCAAAAGCCTAGCCAAGAGGAAGTGAAGAGAACCCAGTCGCAGGCCAAATCTCAGGCTCCAGTGAATAGACTGCCAGAACATCCTACACACCGGACAAAGGCGGTAAAGCCAGGACTACCCACGTTCCCATTCCTTCTAAAGACAGGAACCTCAGGGGTACTTGATTTACGCGGAACAACTGTTTTGCCCAGAGCATTAAAATGAAAGCCTTTCCAATGCTCTCACCTGGGATCATGGAAAATGGGAGTGGGAGAAGTAGATTGAATTTCTCCTTAAGAGTCCATTAGGACAACTGGAAAAGAGCCTAAGCTTCAGATGACGGCAATGGACAATGGCTATTGAGCACTTACTGTTTGCCACGCTGTGTAGTTTTCTTTATAAAATTACTTTAGAGCCTTGAAACACTTATAACACAAACATCATTATTTTACTGAGTTTTATGGGTAAGGAAGCCTGACTTTAGTTAACTAAACAATTAATATACTGTAAATATATAACAAAGAACTGGTAAATGATAGAGACATAATTTAAACCCAGGTTGCCCTTACATAGAACTATTTTTTCCATTGATACGTTTTATTTTATTTTATTTTTCTATCTTGTTGTTATTCAGCTGTTGTTATTGATACAGGGTTTCACAAATGCCAGGCTGGCTACAAGTTCACTATTAGCTGACGATGACCTGGGATATCCAATTGCTGCACTCACTTTCAGTTTGGGAATTATAGTCATGGGCCACCATGCTTAGTTTATGCATGACTGGGGATTGATAATTAAGCACTCTATCAACGGAGCAACCTGAATTCTTATCAAATTAGGGGTTTGGATGAGTTAGCTATGATATGTAGGTAATTGTGAATTAATAAATATGCTAAATATACTTATACTTGTGGTGTGTATGTGTCTATTTTTATTAATTAGTACCATGAACAAGGATGCCAAAGACTATATAACTCAGCTGAGGAATAGAGATTCAAGGCATAGTTACATATTTATTCAGACCCTAAAACCTGGAATTTCCATGAAGCTATCATTATCAACTGTTATTGATCATGAACAAATAAAATAAGGATTTAAAGTTAGGTGATCCTAGTATATTATTTGTTGTGATACTACTATGTGTATTCACATTCTTTTTAATACACTTCTCAATTCAGTGCTTAGCATAAAATACACATGCAATAAATTTTTTAATAACAAGGTGGTAGTATTTCTCTCATTTTACAGATGTGACAACTGACTCTCAGAGAAAACTTCCCAAAGACCGCAAGACCTCATATAGGAATCAAATTTAGTTTTTCTAACTTTAAAACCCATACATTTGGTACAATATCAAGAGCCACAAAATTATAAAATCATGTTGTTATAGAAATAAATAAAGTGAGCTGAAAGGGAATTACTCTTAGGGCAGGTCTTAAATAATGAGCAAAACCTATCCCAGAACAAGAATTGATTGTATGTGGGGATATGGAAGCTGACAGAGGAAAATGTTCCTGGCCGCTGCCTCCACATTTGTTGATACTGAGGGACACACACCTTTTACAGCACATTCTGAGAGAGAGGTAAGTCTCAGATAGAGACTGCTCCTGTGTTCTCTGTCTGTGCTTGCTGCATATGTTCCCTTCAGCCCATTCTGCACACATTTACCAATTGGGAAGGTGGCTTCTCTATTAAATAGTACACACCAAATAGATCGTAGGATACACATGCCAAAAGACCAAGCATCCATAAGACTTTAGTCACACATACAACCCTCCACATGAGGGGAAATTAACTAAGCCAATTTAATCAAATTCAAGCACCAAGTTCTCCAAGGAAATTCACGTGCCATGGAGTGAACTCTTCTTTTACTCTGTCCTTTGGCCTTGACAGCAGGTTTCAGATCCAGATGAAACACTAGTCTAGAGACTCAAAGACAGGAACTCAGGGAATTTCAGAAAAGTGATTGACTTTGTGCACACAATTTGTTTGTTCCCTAAGCATTTTCCTACCCAGAGATACTAAAGAACTCTTAAACTGTGCTTAGAAACTAAAGAACTGAGTGAGGGAGTGAGGCTTGCTGAGAAGACAAAGTAAAGCTATCTCAAATAAAAATTAACCCGAGCATACAAAATAAAGCCAGAGGATACGAAAGGGTAACCCAGATGTCTCCCTGTCCTTCCCGCAGTACTTCTGGCCAGCGTCATGTTCTTCAAAGCTTGGTTCAGTATATAAAGCACATCGCCAGCCAATATCCATGTGGTATCTACAAGGAGATTCTCATAGCCCTGACGCCTCATTCCTCTTGGATTTTCGAGCCTTCCTCCTTCAGTAGGTTGGCATCTATGTATGAGTCCCCTTAACTAATTTATTTTTTATTTTTAAAACAATCTTATTCTACATACCAATCCCTGTTACCTCTCCCTCCTGTCTTCCCACTCCCCTACAATCTCCCAACCCTATGCCTCATCCACTTGTCAGAGAAGGTGAGGCCTCCCATGGAGAATCAATCATCAAAGTCTGTCATATCTTTTGGGGAAGGACCAAGGCCCTCCCCCTTGTTTCTAGGCTTAGCAAGGCATCCTACCATAGGGAATGGCTTCCAAAAATCCAGTTCACACACTAGGAATATTTAATTGTCCACACACAATGAACAATAAACTGTCCTTAATTTTTAAAAACACTAGCTGTAGTGTCCCAACTGATGCCTACAGTATGAGCAGATTGTGAAAAACAAAAAAGAAAATAAAACCACATTCCATTGAAACATTTACATTTTGTAAACTGTGATCCCCACAAATATTATATACGTGGAGTTCAAGAACAAGCTAAAATTTAGCTAGATATGGATGGAAGGGTTTTCTGTGTGTGTGTGTTCCATTTGTGAAGGTAAAATAAGGAAGCTCAGTCTTCTTAGAGGAGGATATCCTTAGACAGCATCAAGTGTTCCTTTTGATACTATCCAAAATTCAGCAAAAGTTTGCAAACATTAGAAGACTAAATAAAATTTTATATAAAAAATGAAAAAATTACAAAAGAATAACCATGGATCATTTGGGCATGGTAGCATACACCTTTAGTTTAGGATATGGGAAGCAAGGACAGATAGTTCTCTGTGGGCTCAAGGCCAGCCTGGTCCACATAAGAGGTTCAAGCCAGGCAGGTGTACACAGTGAGACACTGTCTCAAAAACAAAACCAAACAAAGGAGTAGTGAAGAAAATCTTAAAGAAGAACACAATTTTGAAGACAAAAAGTAAAATATCAAGATTCTCATAAAGCCACTACAATCAAAATAGAGATATTATGTTTGAATGAAAAACCTAATTTGACAATTTGACAGACACAACATGGACACAAATAT